ATTGGGGGAACTTTCACTGACTAAATTGGCAAATTGGTCAGTTAGGGACTATTTTTCTACTGCTACTATTTTTTTACTGATAACAGTAGTTCAGCCGAGATATTTTGAAATTAGTTTTACGACCCGTAAAAGTTGTTATTGTTTTCATTTAAATGTCCCACTTGCCGCTGTTTCGCCAATCAAGCAGTGAGTGATCGTGTTGCCAGAAGAAGGATTTATATCAGGACGCCTTTGAAAAATTAGGACAGCGGATAAAAGTTTTTGTGTGACAAAAAACTTGCTGGATTTAACTCGTTTCCCTCCGCAATGTCTATCGTGTCTGATGGTGGCCTAATGGGTTACGCCACAGGGTTCGAGTCCGGGTAGTGTCTACTTGCATAATATTTCATTTTGTGACAGATTGCTCAAAATCAGGTAAAAGACAATAATCGAGATGTTTCTTGCAGATTATAGCTTATTTGTAAAAAGAATAATTTGAGACCACATGTACCCCAATTAAAATAATGTTAGTCTCTTTTTGATGTTGGACTTATACATTGAAATGTCCTTATTTTTGAAGGTAAAGCACTGTAGATAACTTTAAACTAGTCTTAACTGTAAAGAAATACACTGCTACTATACATTGCTTATGTGGTAAATGACTATTCTAGCTGCAAATGTCTGGTTTTTGGTGCAATGTTGTAATTGCTGCAAATGGAGGATTCTTTGACGAAAGCAAAGTTGGATGTAAAACAAATCTTATTTCAAATACAAATCATTATTTCTAACCTAGTCAATGTCTTGACTCTATTTTCTATTCATTTCACAACGTATGGTGGTGAATAAGTGTGACTTTTCATGGAAAACACTTGGGTGACCCCAAACTTTTGAACGGTAGTGTATGTCTAAAAAATAGAGAATAAATTGAAGGGTATATCCTCTGGAGTATACCCTGAGCAGCTCGTGGGTTCAATTCCCACCTCTACACCTTCTCCACCGACTCCCACTGATGACTGCTGTCGTTGTGTCCTTGGGCAAGACACTTAACCCCACTTTGCCCAAAGCCCCCACTGAAAGATCAAGGCTATGCTCACACTCAGAGAGCAGCCGTCCTCCTGTGGACTCACCACCTGCAGAGGGTCAGTGAGGGGCTGGTGATATGAGACTTGGGTGGCATCTCTGATTGCCACCCCCCTGACCCAGAAATGGATTAAAGGGTCGAAAATGGATGGATGGATGGTATACCCTGATGTTGATACGCTGAAGAAATATGTTCCAACATCCATTCTTCCCTCTCCTATTTTGGACATCAATTGCTTATTTATTTTGCATAATCTATGCATAATTAAATTGCTTTTATTTTGTTTTTCTCATCTCAAATGTCCAAAACAAAAAATTACAAAAACATTCATTCAAAACAATTCATTCAACATTAGCACGGCTATCATGGCAATGTGAATGGAGATAGACAAACAACTGATTGAATAATTCCTTGTGTTTGCTGCTGGATTTGGTGTGTATCTGGCAACCTGACTCAGGGAGAGTGGGAGAGGACTACATTATATTGACTGTGACTGCAGTACCACTTTTGGCCAGATTTTTACATACTGCTCCTTTAAGATCCATCCCTGCGCAAACACGCAACTCTGCCCCTTCTGTCTGAAAGCATCTGTCTCAGTAATAGTATGATGTCATTGTCCCTCTATGACACCACACAAATTAGTTTTGGCAATTTTAAAGTGAAATAACATTCTTTACAATCACATGTCTGTGTTTTGCGGCCAATTTGGAACAAAAACAAAACTAAAATTACCCTCCCCCTGGTAGGAGCATAGTGATTTGCGGACAAAAAGCATTATTACCCTTTATACTTGTTTCACCATATATTTTCCATTGAAGACATTTTTCCGCATTCTAAAACATGAAAAGTAAATTGTGTCAGAATCAGTTTTAATGGCCAAAGAATATTGCATACTTCTTCTTTAAGTGTATAGGATTACAGTCAATCAAGCTGGTTTTATATAGACTAGGTAGTTGTCTAGGCTAGTTGTTTTGAGGCCCAAGACTTCCACTGCTATGTACTCTAAAGTACTGGTGTGACTGTCTTCATGACGGGTACGTGCTAATACAGTGAATCCCAAGCAGCCCGAGTATTCCGACCGTGGGGGCCATTGCACTTTCACAATTATATTTCAGGAAGTGGAATTGGAAGAATGTGGAAGCGCATAAATATTGAGAATGGAGCGTTGAAGGTAAATATATCTATGAGCGGTGAAAGAGCACGTACAGTTGTGTCTCTCGGTCTTCTGCTGTTTCTCTTTGACATGAGAACAGCCCACAGCGATGCACTAAATAGTTTCATTTTATAAACTATGTGGAGAATTCTTGCAGACCAAAGCCAATCTAAGCCCTGTGAATAAATGTAAACTCAAGATTTAATAACTTTTAGTAAATAATCCGACGGTTCAGTGTGTAATTATTTTATGAAATTCCCCTTTATGGCCAGAATATGGAAGCGTTTCACAGTGCTCAGGCTGCTTCTTGTAATTTAACAGGGCCATCTGGATAAAACGATAATACGCAGCCGTGCATATCTCGGCCTGTAGTCTGTTAATCTTGGTTGGACAATCATCTTTTGCAACGTTTGGAACAAAATCGTGCCCAATAATTGTGTTTTTATTGTGTTTCTGAGTAATATCAAAACAGTTCCCAGCACAGCCGTCAATCTGATACTGATTTGTTTCCCTCAAAATTAAAACAATGGAAAAATCAACTCAAAAAGTTGGTTCAACTGTTTACATGTGCACAGAGCTTAGACAAGCTCAGGGCCTAATTATGTAAACTATCATATGTCAGCTGGAGTGAAGCCGTTTGGATTGGACACTGCACTCAGACTTCAATGACATGAATTATCAAACTGTTTCTCAATAATTTTTCTGTTTCCATACAGTACACGCACAACACTTTTATAATAATGATGTAAATAATCAATTGCATTAAATCTTCAGGCTCATCGCTAATAGAGAATTCAACACCATATTAACCATATTGACTGAGATGTTTTTGAAATGTCCATCCATCCATCCATTTTCTTCCGCTTTATCCGTTGCCGGGTCGCGGGGGCAGCAGTCTAAGCAGAGACGCCCAGACTTCCCTATCCACACACACTTCCTCCAGCTCGTCCGGGGGGACCCCAAGGCGTTCCCAGGCCAGCTGAGAGACATAGTCCCTCCAGCGTGTCCTGGGTCTTCCGCGGGGCCTCCTCCCGGTGGGGCGTGCCCGGAACACCTCCCCAGGGAGGCGTCCAGGAGGCATCCGGAACAGATGCCCGAGCCACCTCAACTGGTTCCTCTCGACGTGGAGAAGCAGCGGTTCTACTCCGAGCTCCTCCCGTGTGACTGAGCTCCTCACCCTATCTCTAAGGGAGCGCCCAGCCACTCTGCGGAGGAAGCTCATTTCGACCGCTTGTATCCGCGATCTCGTTCTTTCGGTCATTACCCAAAGCTCATGACCATAGGTGAGGGAGGGAACGAAGATTGACCGGTAAATCGAGAGCTTTGCCTTTCGGCTCAGCTCCCTCTTCACCACAACGGTCCGATACAGCGACCGCATAACTGCGCACGCTGCACCGATCCGCCTGTCAATCTCACGCTCCATTCTTCCCTCACTCGTGAACAAGACCCCGAGATACTTGAACACCTCCACTTGAGGAAGGACCTCTCCACCCACCTGCAGATGGCAAGGCACCTTTTTCCGGTCGAGCACCATGGCCTCGGATTTGGAGGTGCTGATTCTCATCCCAGCCGCTTCACACTCGGCTGCAAACCGTCCCAGTGCATGCTGCAGGTCCTGGTTCGTTGGAGCCAACAGGACAACATCGTCCGCAAACAGCAGAGATGAAATCTCTGCTGTTCTTCAGAACATTTTGAAATGTTCTGAAGAATATTTAAGATAAACGTTTGATGAGAACCAAACAAAAGGTGGAAGTCTGAAATGTAATAAAGAATAGAGGATTACTTCATTTAATAATGTAGGGAAACGTTTGTGGGAAGCCAGGTCTTGGTTCAAGTCCTAGAGCTCATGTTGCAATTCTGCTACTTTGGCGCCTACTGGCTTAAAATAAGATACATTTGTCTTAAAAATATATAATTTATGCGGTTCCTCAAGTTCATAAATAAAAATTAAATAAATTGTAGAAACACACTCATAGGGCACAGACCTCTGCCAAAAGCCACAGACAGATATAGATCCTTGATGTAAACTCTGGGACTTATGGAGCCTGTGATGCACAATGCACAGCTCCACATGCTCTCCCATGTGCTTTTGTTTTGTTTTTCCCTAATTACATAAGGTGTGCACAAGGTTCTGAACCCATGGAGAAATTTGTTTTGCTTTTGAGTTCACAGCCGCTGCGCAGAGAGTGTCCTCTGCCCCAGAGATAATACTTCTGCATTATAAGACAAAATACTGAAGTAACAGACTGTAGTGCATGTACATTGTGCACATACACAGTGGTCCCTGTTTATCGCGGGGGGTTATATTCTGAACATAATCAGCAATAATATGGTTAACTTTAGATGTTTTGAGGCTGTAAAACCACTCACCTCACAGGATCACACTTTATACACTTTATAACCAGCTAAACTCACAAATGCAACACAAGTGCGGTTGCAGTGATATCAAAGCTGCTCTGTCATGTTATGTATGAAAGAACCACAGGGTAAATGCTTGTGTGCGTAGAATGTGTTGCTCAGTACCTGCTTGTGTGGGTAGAACGTGTTGTCCAGTACCTGCTTGTGTGGGTAGAAAGTGTTGTCCAGTACCTGCTTGTGTGGGTAGAAAGTGTTGTCCAGTACCTGCTTGTGTGGGTAGAATGTGTTGCTCAGTACCTGCTTGTGTGGGTAGAATGTGTTGCTCAGTACCTGCTTGTGTGGGTAAAACGTGTTGTCCAGTACCTGCTTGTGTGGGTAGAATGTGTTTCTCAGTACCTGCTTGTGTGGGTAGAATGTGTTGCTCAGTACCTGCTTGTGTGGGTAGACATTGATGTGGCACTTGATGCACTCCTGTCCCATGTTGGCCCAGGAGTTACCACTCATCCACTTCCTCTTACACTTGGGACACTTGTACTCTCCGAAGCACCTCTTCTTCCCCTGGTATGGTGTCAGGCCCTCTCCCTTGGGCCTGGCCTGCCAAACACACACAGGACAGCATGTTAAGTTCAAAAGACAAGTGCAAATGATGAAGATTAGGGATAAGCACATATTAGTTGCCTTCCTTTTAAAATCCAGACGTGACCTGGATCACCTCCGAGGCTAATAATTTGTTCCTTGTCCCATTCCCGAGGTATTCCATCACCAAAGTTTGTCCTTCACCTCACAGCCTCAGTCCTTGTTCTACAGCCAGAGTCATGGATCTACAGCCGGTCTGTCCGTGGGAGCGGATCTCTCTTTTTCCCACTGTTTTTTGTTGTTGTTTCTTGCCAATCCAGGACCTTTATTTACATTTATGGACATTTGTGATCCCGCTCCCTTCGAACTGTTTGATTCTCTGTTTTGTAGTCGGAATCATTCAACACCCTTTAAAATCCTTGTCTGCTGTTGTGATTTAGGGATATACAAAAATTTATTGATTTGAAACGCAAATGAACAAACCGATAAATCCTGGCAAAAACATCACCCCCTGGCGGAGGCAAAGATTGACACCACATAACCAGAAATCACTTATTCACGGGAAATCTGCTGTGACAAATTGCGCCAATGATAATGACAAGCTTCAACAAATTAAATAATTTCTGGTTTCTTCTGGCAACGAAAGTCTCCATTTGTGTTGATGTTTGTGACTTGCTTTGGGAGAGAACGTGTGTGTAGTGGCCTGGTTACAGCTGCCAACATGACCTCATCGGACAGGCCCTCCCTAAATATTGTCCTTGTGTTTTTGAGCAGGCCGATGCTCATAATCATCTCCCTCACCAGAATCACAGCAGTAATGGACTGCAGATGTAAAGAGGCAAATGTCAATTACGCAACCGCTCATTGTGCCAAAAGCATGTGTAGGACTGTGCTCCGTGATGTATTCTAGATGTACGAGATTTGGACAGACACGCCCTGCTGTCGCCACATTTTAGCTTTATAGAGAAAGAATCATTATATTTTCTTCTTTCCTTGTGCAGATTTGCTTAATTTATTTTTATATATATATACTGTACTTACTCACTTTTAGCCAAGAGCCTTATGTTGCTACAGTAGTTTTATCAATGTGAATATTTGAACCCTTAGAGCGAATGACTTACTACCGTAATATTAGAGTACAGTATTATTATTATTTTTTTATGGCAAAGAGATTTAATTTTACTTTACTGGAAGTATAGAGTTGTGCTGTATTTAATGTTCACTTTTCTCGTGTTGTGTGCTCCTCATTCCTACTGTTCAGTAACCTGTGATGCAACACTGAAATGTCCTCGCTGTGGGACAGACCACTCTTAAAATGTTCCAAATATATTGAAATATTAAGATGAAAACTCAATATTGAAATAAAGCAATTGTGTGTTTAAGAAATAATACTGGCTTTGATTTTCATGTCGACATCATCGACAAAAGTAATGACGACAAAATAGCGACAATAGCAGCAGTAGATTTTGTTTCATGTGTGCCAAAATGCCTCTGCCACACGCCCAAATCATTCATGTATTGCAGAACAGGAAAATAAATCAACGTAAAGAACATGGGCGTATCCTCTTGGCTGGGAAACTGGGGAAGGATGAAGCAATGACGATTTTAATGTCGGAAACATCTATGAATCATTATTTTGAGTTTGTAAACAAGAGGGAAGTGATTATAATGTTTCAACTCCTCTTGTACAAGGAGCGCGTGATCCCCACTGAAGAATAATGTTTACAGTAGTAATTGTTTGAAGCAACAGAACGTGCTGAAAAGATTTAAATTGTTTGCGTTATATATTGTGCTTTTTTAATAGATATTTAAAGGAGCAGTATGTACAAATCTTGTACAAATTATCAGTTAAAGAAGTATTCAAAAAGTTCATGGTTTTGTAAATCCTTTTGACATATGGCCATTTAATGATGACTTGACAAGAAAATCTTACATAGCGCTACTTTAATGACATGTTTTGAGTACTTGAGATTTTCAAAGCTTACTTGAGATTTTCAAAGCTTATTTTTTTTGACTATATTGAAGACCAAAACACTTTTGAGTGAACATTCTAATGACGGAATGACGTATAAGTGTTTCGATAAAGAAAATATCTGGTCTGTGTCTATAACTGGCTTACTCATTTGGGGCAAGTCTTCTACCTCTGTCCATCGGTCTCAAATGTCCTCTCAGATGGCGGAGTGGATAAGTCAAACATCTGCTTAGCGATAGCCTTTAGCAACGTTCAAGTGGTTATTTCAGCTGACACAATTCTTCCATTGGTGAAACAAAAAGGAATAGTTTGTATCTGAAAAACTCATGCATAGATGGTTATCTGATATGACGGAGAGAAATCCTGTTGAATTCACAGCATGCATGTGGTGGCGACTTTCCAAAACGTTGGGAAATGTGCTCTCCAACTGAAATGGGGCCAAACCAACCAAACCAAACCCCCCCCCCTGCAAGCCCGGGTTTTGTTTTCTTAATCACTTTTACATTGGCTGCAGACTTTAGGGTTTATCTCAGAGGTAGGGAAGAGGGGAGGGGTCCGAGTGTTTTGTCCCAGCCCCTGCATGAGTAATACTGGTCCTAATGAGCTGCATGTGGAGCTGTCCCAACAGACGTCAGCTCTTTACATCAGCAGCCTGGACCTGGACCTGGACCTGGACCTCAGCTCGGCACCGTGAGCGGAGGACGGCCTGACCTCCAGATCACAGGCCCTCAAGTCTCCCCACTTTCAAAAGTTTCTGTCCACATTGCCATATGAATCTACGTGACTCCCTCTGATTGGCTGAGTGAGGACCTCCCTCACTCAGCCAATCAGCTCTCAGCCCAAATTGTAAAATAGTCACTGGGCTTTTTCTTTAAAAAAATGCAAAAGTTGAAGATGGCATGTTGTGGTCTGTTCACAATATGTTACCTAGAAATACAATTTATTTTAGGGGGGACGGAAAAACTAGGTACCTTTATCTAATGAGAAGTTTATTTTCTGTTCAATTCAATAGTATTTTTATGAATCTTAGAGGAGAGAAGAGATACTTTATTCGTACCACTGTGGTGAAATTTCAGTGTTGCATCACAAGTTATAAAATAGTAGGAAAGAGGAGAACAGCACAAGATAAGTGAACAATAGCTGTACTAATTAAAATAAAACAAAATCTCTGGACTATAAAAGTATCTCAGTTAAAAGTATAACAGATCAAACACAAAAAAATGCAACGATAAAAAGACACAGAGAGTCATTGGTCCATAAGAGGCAGATGTCCATAAATATTATTTTTTCTATTACTATTTTTGAATGGTTAAATCTTAACAATTTGTTGTCAGATTTGGATTGCATATTACAACCTTACATTTCAGTATTCCTGTCTTTCCCAGTACTGTATACACATTATCTCAACTTGAAATGTTTCCCCCCACCAAGTGAACATACTGTAATCTCACCCAGAGACAGCTTTAGTGCACCGCTGTCCACTTTGTCCCATCCCCTGTCCGCTCGGCCTCCTCCAAAGGTCTCCACGTCCAGCCTTATCTAAGCCCATTGTGTCCCCGCTATCTCCTCCTAGAGTCCGCCCGGCTCTACCCCCAGAACTCTGCCTGGAAAATCTGACTTCCACTGCTCCTGTAGCCCTCCCCGAGACTTTGACAGGCTTGACTAATGCGATCGTGCTAAAATAAAGCCATAGCAACACTGTGTTAGGACCCCACACGCCAGTCCAAGTATGATTCATTCCCAAATACCACACATCACACATGCTGGTGTAAATTGCATACATACATCTACTCTTGATTAGACAAAAGTTATAAAGATATTCCATATAATAAACATGACGCAATAAAATCAAATAGTGCTGTAACTTATTGCACAATTGATTATTACAGGAACGATGAACACGAAGGCCAAGTTGTCAGTTCACGTTGTTTTGAGGCCTGGAGGCAGTAAGAGCGGCCAGATTATATGACATCTGTAAATAAAACAAAACATGACGCACTATCTAAGCCCCGGCATCTGAAACCAATCACCTCCCAGCACCAGGGTCCGGGTTTTGAACCAGAGCGTGGCCGAGTGCGGAGTTTGCATGTTCTCCCTGTGCCAGTATATGTTTCCACTGGGTGCTCCGGTTGCACTTAAAAACATCAGTTCTAGACGCTTAACACAAAGTCCCACCAAAGAAAATACTCATGATTTACGGCTGTATCAAAAATGTTGGCCTTCTGAGCACCACCGCATCTAAAGCAGCATCACATCGAGTTAAAGGAGATGTTTTATAGAAATCTTTATTTTTGAGCTTTTAACCGTGTTCCCTCTTCAAAAACAGACCTGGAGTTGTTTTTAGATCCATCCGGCTTATATCAGGAACTTATGTGATAAAGATGAAACGCCCTCCCCTTCTGACTAAAAATTCTTGTCTCAGTTCTGTAATAGTATGATTCCACCCTCTAAACAGGGCCTGTGTGGAGTTTGCATGTTCTCTTTGTGTCTGTGTAGGTTTCCTCTGGGTGCTCCGGTTTCCCCTACCACTAAAACATGTAAAATAGGTCCAGCATGCGTCTCATGTGTGGCGACCACGCTCCCATCTCTGTGTGGGGTTATAGGAAACATGCCCACAACAGTTGTAACAATTGCTTTGTGACTCTGAAGGCGCTATATAAATAAAGATTACTTACTTACTCATTGTACTACTACATCATCACACTCGGAGCATGTTTCTGCCTTTTACAAACAAAAAGTACTGCTCATAAAATCATTTTGGCAATTTCTCCTGTAAAAATCATGCTCTTTAAAGTCGCATGTGTTTGCAGCAGGTAATTTTCCAATTTGGAAAAGAACAAAACAATCTACACCTCCCTCTGGTGGTAGCACTGGGATAGGGCAGGTCTTCTCTCTTATGACTTTTTTCACCATATATATTTTTACTGTAATATTTGACAACATGAAATGACAAAATAAAAAGTACAAAAAGGTACAAATCTAACCCAGGGTCCATGTGATATTTCTGCTTTAAAGCTGGAGTACCTAACTTTGAAACCACAACAAA